CTCTCTATCTTTTCAACAAACGCTTCTTATCTCTAATTTTCAATGCAAATTCGGGTCAACTAAGAGATATCGATTTGACTAGGCGAACATTGACAAACTTGCTCTCTGAGTCAAACGGTCAACCCCAAACAACTTCTACACTAATATAGATATAAGAAAAAAATTAATAATATTAATTATTATGTAATTATAATCTAATTAAAAATTCATAATTCCCCTCCTCCCCCTTTCCCCTTCCTTCCTTCCCTTGCACCCCAATTTGGGGTAAGCCGAAACAGTGAATTTACGCTCACGTTTTGCATCCCCTACTGTTACAAAATAAACAAACGGGGGTAAACACCTTGGAACTTGTATTTACCCCCAAACTTGCACCCCTTCCATTTACACCCCTTCCCAAACATAGTGTTAGGGGTCGTTTGGAAGTTGCGATAGTTTTGTTGAGATTGTCATTATGCATGTATTGTTTACAATGCATCGTTTTTTTGTTTTTTTAGCAGAAACAATACATGGATTGTTTCTGTGATGTGACAGAAACTATCACTCATTTTGAGTGATTGTTATATCTCAACTTTTAGTTGTGATTGTTGAGATAGTTGAGTTGAGATTGTTTTGTCTCAGCTTTTAGCTGATGCGACATACACAATCACACATACCAAACGTTGTATTCTACAATACATCAAATTCAACAATACATGTATAATATTATACATGCATTCTCAACAATACATCTATTTAACAATTGCAACTTCCAAACTACCTCTTAATTACCAAATAAGAACCAAACCTCTGTAGCCCATCCTAAAGGGTGAAAATCACCATTGGTCACTATACTTGCTTAATTAATTTATGTTTACCACTGGACTCGTTTTTAATTCAACTAAACCACTGAATTCAATTTAAAAACTCACCGTCCATCACTTTCGTTACAACTTAACGGAAGCCATATTAACGGTGCTGACAAAGCACTAACGATGATGACGTGGTGACACCTAGTCCCTATTATTCCACATAAGCCGTCTATTACTTAACCAAACTCTACCAAAAAGAATCCGAAACCCTAATTGTTTTCCCTATTATTCTATACGCTGCTGTCCATCTTCCCCAAAAGTTCCTGCTCATCTTCCCCAAAAGCCACGTTTGAGTTCTACCTGCACCCGCAAGCCGCCATGCCGCCGAACAAACCAACAAAATGAAGCAACAGAGGGAATCTTGATTATGGTAAGTACTTAGTGGAATTCAATTTTTTTTTTTATGGTTTTGGTGTGGGGTACCAGAAGTCGGTGGAGTGATGCCGAGGCCGGCCGCCGGCGCCACCGCCTTGTATCTGTGAATATATATGTTCACTTTCCATGATAATGCCTAGTCTAGAAGATGGGGTTATTTATGTGGGATTGGAGGGGGTTCTGCTGCCTTTAGGGAGAGGTAGATAGAGAAAGAAACATAATAAAAAATGAAAGCTTTCTCATGGGGTTTGCCATATGGACCACTTTTAATCTTCTCTATACCTTGTTTTTTGTCTTTTTGCATATTTGTCTCTACTAACAACAAGAAAAGGAGGAGCTAAAGATAGAAAGATGTGTATGGGATTGAAAAAGTAGACACGTAGCAAGAGGGTGGGATTGCCATGGACCACATATAATCTTTTCATTGTTATGTTGTTTTGTCTTCTTGTGTATTTTTGTCTCTAATAATAACAAGCAAACTATTGTTTTGCAGACAACGTATTATCTGAAAGCAGTGATGGGAGTTCTGATCATGAGGTATATTTTGAGGATAGTGATTACGATTTGATGGATAAGGAAGATGATTTGATATATGATAATTATGTTGATGAAGAAGTAGAAGCTGGAAATGGATTTGATTTTCAAACAGAAGGTGCTTCAAATCCGCAATCACCTATGGCTCATGATGGTGATATTGCTTATGATGGTGACGGAGAGCTTACTCATGTGGTTGAGGATGGAACTGAAATGGAAGAGGAATTTCCTGAGTTCAATGCAGAAGCAAATATGAATGATCCGGTATTTTTTGAAGGTCTCAAGTTTAAATCCTTTGATGAATTTAAGGAGGCGGCAAAGCATTATGCAATAAGACATAAAAAAAACATTCGGTTTAAGCATAATGACAAGCTGAGGGTCCATGCTGTTTGCCAAGATGGTTGTCCATGGGAAATATGGGTCTCCTACATGTCTAGTGAGAAGACACCTCAAATCAAGACATGTCGCTTACATCATAGTGAGCATTGCAGAAAAGTGTACAACATCAGATTTCTCAACGCCAGGTGGATAGCAAAGAAGTATCTAGAGAGGTTTAGAGTTGATCCTGCATGGTCTTGTCCCCTTCTAATTCAAACTGTCAAGGAAGATTTGATGCTAACCATGAGCCTGCCTAAAGCTCAAAGGTGTAGACGTGAGGCTTGGGTACTATTAGGTGGGCAAGAGGAAGATCAATACAAGAAATTATACGATTATGCAGGTGAGATTCGAAGGACAAACCCAGGATCTACTGTGATCATTGAGCAATTTGGAGGTATTTTTGAGAGGATGTATATGTGCTTGCAAGGATGCAAAGACGGATTCAAGGCAGGATGCAGAAGGTTCATATCCATCGATGGTTGTTTTATTAAAACCGATATTGGAGGACAATTATTAACAGCTATTGGTGTTGATCCTAATGATTGCATTTTCCCCATTGCATTTGCCTTGGTGAAGAAGGAAAATAGAGATAATTGGCAATGGTTTATTAGGAACTTGGTTGAAGATCTCGAAGTGGAAAATAATCCCAGTTGGTGCTTTATGTCTGATCGTCAGAAGGTAATTAAGATTAATAATTATCAATAACTTAGATGTTATTCCTCTTGTTTAATGTCTTATGTTCTTTCTAATATTTGAATTTACAATCACTTGTAGGGGCTGATTGCAGCCTTAAATGATGAGTTGTTCGACGTGGAGCATCGATTTTGTGTACGCCACATGTATACAAACTTTCGGAAGGATGTTTCCCGTGACTTGTTATTGAAAGACTTGCTCTGGAAGGCAGCACGAGCTACTACTACAAGTGAATTCAAGAGGTGGATGCAAGAGATTGGGAGGCAGAGTGAGAAGGCGAAGAATTGGTTGCATGATAGACCTTTTAGAGAGTGGTCAAGAAGTCATTTTCAAGTCCTATGCGGGTGTGACATGCTTCTCAATAATCTCTGTGAGTCTTTTAATCGTTGCCTACTAGATGCAAGGTGCCAACCCATTATCTCCATGTTTGAGGCCATTAGGTGCATGCTAATGAGACGTATGCATGTGAAAAACAAAGTTGGTGATAAAATGATTGGTCGAATTTGTCCCAAAATACAAACTAAATTGGAAAAGCTGAAAGATGAAGCAGCAAAGGGTTGTACAGCTACTTATGATGGAGAGAATCAGTACCAAGTTAGGTCCTTTGATGGACAAGTGGTAGTGGATCTTGCTGAAAAGACTTGTGCATGCAGAAAATGGCAGCTTTCTGAAATTCCTTGTAAGCATGCTATATGTGCAATTTGGGAGGCGAACGAATATCCAGAAGATTATGTTGGTAGTTGGTATACTGTTGATACTTACAAAGAAGTTTATAACCATTTTGTTCATCCTACCAATAGCAATGATATGTGGGAAGATAGTGGTAGGGATCCCATTCAGCCACCTCCTATAACTAAGGAAAGAAAGATGAAAAGGGGAAGAAAGCCTAAACAAAGGAGGAAGGAGAGTGCTGAGTTGGAAAACACAAGTAAGAATGGTAAACATAGATTGAGCAGGAAAGGAGTGAAGCTGAGATGCTCTGTATGTCGTGAATATGGGCATCGGAAAGACTTCCATAAGAATAGTACATTACCACAACAAGAAGGTGATCAAGGAAGCTCCTCTACACAGGCTACAACTTCTGGAAGAATGAACAAGTTACCTGTAAGTTAAAAAATTTATGTAATCATTTTTTCTTCAAATTTGAAAATACATAATTTCTTGTACTAAGAAATTTGATTGTTAATGTTTGTTTTATATTGATATCGTAGATTCAACGTAAAACAACTGGAGTACAACAAGGTATGACCCAATCCTGCATTTCAGCGCCACAGGTGTGTATCACTACCCCAATATCTTTTGTATAGAGGATGTATGTTTAGAGGATGTTCTTTAAATGATGTTTGCTTGTTTTTTCTGATAGGAGAGTGACATTTTATTTCAGAACTAGGAGGCTTTTTTGGACAAGTTCAACGCTTGGATACTGTCTGGATTGACGCTGAGTTGAAGTCGCGACTTCTATTTCAAGTGATGCCCCAAATTCTGCCTGTTTTAGTGCCCAAGTTCTACGGATAATTTTTTATAGACTTGATATGTTTGATTTCATTTTGTGGAGCTGACATATTTGAAAAGCAAAACATTGTAAACGAATTATTGTACGGGTCAGTTTATTAATTTTTGTCCTCCTGTTGATTAAAGAAGAGAATAGTTCTACTACACTAAACATGTGCTTTCAGATTAGAAAAGCAAAATACGAGTAATTAACAAAATCTTCCCATACCAATTGTCTAGTATATAATACGGAATTTAAATAAGTATCACCAAAGTTGTGGAGCTCAATTGGTTCAAATGGTGGTGTGACTTCGATGTGGTCCCAGGTTCAATTCCTGCTCCCACAAATGTTTGCTTTTTTATCTTAGTAACCTGGTTGTTGAATTATAAACGAATTATTGTGACATGGCAAATTAAATAGGCTGCCTCCAAATCTAACGATGCCATATCAGCACTGTTAAGTCCATGTCAGCACTGTTAAGTTTTCATCCGTGAAATGGAACGGAAGTGATGGATGATAATTATTTATATCAAGTTTAGTGGTTTAGTTGAATTAAAAATGAGTCTAGTGGTAAACATAAATTAATTAAGCAAGTATAGTGACCAACAATGATTTTCACCCCCATCCTAAAGGTCCTGTCTTTTCGCCAAAGGCCCTGCCTTTGCTAATTTCTCCTGAAGATGCGCGATGCTTTGCGCTTGACTCCAAAGGTCGAAGGCTGGTTGAAGCACCACGACCCAAAGCGCAATTCATTCGTCTCCCTGTCCCGCAATCTCGCTTCCCTCCTGGGATCCTGCAGTCGGACTTCCCAAATCGGCCAAGTTCATGGCTTTATGGTAACGACTGGTCTGCAACACGACCCTTTCTCCGTCAGCAAGCTTCTCGCTTCTTCAGTACGGGACACACGATACGCGGCCTCCATATTCGAAAATATCCGAGACCCAAATCTGTTCATGTTCAACACTATGCTCATTAGCGGAACACCCTGGAAGGCCTTTGGTGTTTTCAGTGACTTGAGGGCTCGGAGCTTCTTGCTCGATCAGTTCTCTTTCATCATGACCCTTAAGTCTTGCTCCCGCGAATCGTCTGTGGAAATCGGACAGGCTATACATGGAGTTGCATTGAGATCTGGGCATTTATTGTTTGTGGAAGTTAAGAATGCACTTCTGCACTTGTATGGCGTTTGTGGGAAAATTGAACACGCCCACAAGTTGTTCGATGAAATTCCAGAGGAGAATGATCTTGTCACGTGTAACACAATGATGGCTGCTTATATGCAAGCTTCTCAGCCAGCAATGGCCATGAAATTGTTCAGGGAAGGGGTTAGGGGTGGCCAGGGAGTCAGCGAGACCACATTGCTGTCGGTTCTGTCGGCTCTCGGTGAATTAGAGGATTCACGTGGAGGCGAATCCATTCATGGCCACTGGATGAAGGTCGGCTTCCATTCTAATAAGAATATTGTGACTGCTCTGATTGAGATGTACGCAAAAACAGGTAGTATAGAATCAGGACGTAGACTTTTTGATGAGACCATGTCTAGAGACGTCGTCCTGTGGAATTCCATGATAGATAAATATGCAAAAGCTGGGCTGCTATATGAAGGGATTACACTGCTAAAGCTCATGAAAAGTGAACGAGTGAATCCAAATTCATCCACTTTGGCAGGTCTGCTCTCAGCTTGTGCTGCCACTGGATCTATCAAACTTGGCCGATACCTTAGCAGCTTCGTAGAAGAAGAGGCAATGAAACTGGATGCAGTTCTCGGTACAGCTCTGATCGATATGTTTGCCAAATCTGGGTTTCTAGACAAAGCGGTCGACATCTTCCAGCGAATGCAGAGCAAAGATGTCAAGTCTTGGACTGCCATGATCTTAGGTTATGGAATTCATGGGCGGTCGAGTAATGCTGTTGCTCTCATGTACAGAATGGAGGATGAAGGATACAGGCCAAATGAGGTTACTTTTTTGGCTGTCCTAAGTGCCTGTAGTCACGGCGGGATGGGGAAAGAAGCAATGGAATGCTTTCGGAGGATGGTTGAACGATACGGTCTTTTACCCAGAGTTGAGCACTATGGTTGCATTATTGATCTCTTGGGTCGTTTGGGACTGTTGAAGGAAGCACAAGGCTTGATCGAAAGACTGCCACCAATCAAGAGAGATGCCACTGCTTGGCGTGCATTACTTGCAGCCTGCAGAGTGTATGGAGATGTTAAATTAGGGGAACGTGTGAACAGAGTATTGGTTGAAATGGATGATCAACATCCGACTGATTCAATACTTTTATCAGGCACTTATGCCATAGCTGGAAGGTTGAAAGATCTAGGGAGCTTGCAGGTAACAACAGAAGAGCAGTTAGATGCCAAATTTAAGTGGAAGTCAATAGGCAAGGAAGAAAGTAGGGTTAAAGAAGCTGGATGTAGCATGATTGAGGTGGACCATGGATGGGAGGAAAACATAGATGGGCTTGAACTTCATGCAACCATGTTCCCTTGGCAGAAAAAGCAGTGAGTTATAGGTTTGCATGGATGTAGATTGCAGAAGACCTTCGCTACAGTTACTTTGGAGCTTTGATAGTTTGTCGGGCCTCTCATATCAAGCTAAGTATTAAGTGGTGTCGATCAACTGAAGATAAGATACCTTTTATGATTTGATTAATGGGAAGAATTGGCACCTATGCAGGTCAGTGGAATTCTTCACATTGGTTCACGTTTTCAATTAGTGATGCTTGACTGTATTTGTGAATCCTTCGACCCTATTTTGCAAGTCACTGCAACTGCTGTGTTTGCTTATATAAGCTGTTCATATAGTCTCTGCTGGTGCCTGGTATGTTAATAAATCTGCTACCATAGCGAAAATTTAGAATGGGGGTTACCCCCCCCCCCCCCCCCCTTCTTTTCTCTCTTTCAGTTTTCTCTCATCCAGCTCATTCGTAATCAGAAATTGTGAAGAAATCTAAAGAAACGTGTTCTTCAAGTCAAACGGGTTTAGAGAAGGCGAAGTTATTCACATGTTTCGACTTAGAAAGCTTAATACTAACCCATTTTGAAAAGGTTGTGAGGATAATGAAATTTTAAAGAGTCTATAGCCCCTAGTTAACGTTTTGTATGCTTATAGTGTGTCCTACTCCCTATTACAAGTTTAAATTGTCATTTCCCACTGAGTTTAGCAGTTTGAGATGGTCAAACGACAGTTTGCTGGAGATTGTTTGTACGTGAGGTATATGTTTCTTAGGGGTGGGCATTGGTGCGGTCAAACCACACCAAACCGCTTCAAACATTGTTTCTCACATTTACATTGGCTTTGTTTTCTTTAACATCAGCTCTGCTTGCGGTTTCAGCAGAAACAGTTACCAAGCCTGGCAAATGTACCTGCTCAAGTACAGGTATCGTATCGGTACTTCTTGGTTTCTCGTGAAACAATTGGGAAAATCTATTTAGCTCAGCGCTTATTCCAGTCTTCAAATAGAATTATGAAAGCATGTACTCCAAATAGAATTATGAAAGCATGTACTTCAAAAAGAATTATGAAGCCTTTGAAACTCCAAACTGGATACGCCCTGTCTGTGTCCGCATTTGCAAACAGTAGTGCAATGCTTTTGCTAACTAGGCTTGTAGAGCTGCTTATGGGTGATGACTTATGAGCAGAATTTCTTAGGGAAGTATAGAGAATGTAATGTTGTCTAAAACATAGTAACTTGTAGCTTACTGACATTCTAGGTGCTCTTAATATGAGCTTCGTGTAAAGCAGAGAACAGTGTCTTTTTTTTGGCCCTTGAAGTGTGGACAGCTGAATGGTAGCTTCATTTTTTGGTGCTGTGTTCTATAACAGGAGGGGATTTGATAGGATACCAGCAATGGATGTACATTTCGTGGCCAGCTACCTAAGGGGTGTCTTAGACCAGACACAGTGAGTTACAACTAGATGTCAACAATGGCGTGGCGAGCTATTTCAAGGGGTGGATTAAACCAGAGACAATGAGTAACTGATAGAAACCGGAGAAGATGTCGCCGATGTCGGACCATCGCCGGAGAAGAAGACGGAGCTAAAGGCCTAGTCGGAGTCGGATCGGCCACCTGGCCATCGGTGGAATGACGGCGCGCCGGGGAAGAGGAAGACGAAGGAGGGAGTTGGCGGCGGCTTCCTTCCTCTCGCAAAAACCTAGGTTGGCTGCACAGGTTGTTTCGGCCGCGGGCTCGGATGGAGCTGAGGGCCTTGTTGGGCAAGGAGAGTGCACTGTTTGCTGGAGAAAGAAGTCAACAATGGGCCGAAAAGAGGAGATATCGTTTTGCTCTCTATGGGCCGAAAAGAGCAGCTTAGCGGGCTGAAGATTGAGCAAACTGGGCCACGTTTGCAAGGAGTAATTGAGCCCAAACTAGGTTGTGTTTTGATGCAGGTGGACTTGGAAGAAATGAAAAAGGGCCTTGAAGGCTTATCTGATGGGCTTTCAAGAGAGTAAGGTCCTAACTTAAATGGAGAAGCAATCACTCATAATTATGAGCTTGTTCAAAGAAAGATGAATGAAGGCCTTGCAGAAATGGTACTCAAGGTCAAGGATGTGTTCTTAAACAAGAACGAATCCTTAGATTCCCTAAGTCGCTGGGTATGAGGCCAACGAAAGAGAAGCTATTCAAGTTTGAATCTGTCAAAGAAGGGAATAGTGGGCCCATGGAAGTGAAGTTAGAAAAGTGGGACCAGCACTAGAAGGTCAACGCAAGAAATCCAAGTCGAGTAGTGGAACCTGATTGGAAGCAAAGGAAGCGCAAGAAACGGAGAAGACAACACGCGAAGTGCACGCGAAAAGCATGGAAGTAGATCAAGTTGGTCAACCTTGAGGGCAAGGTTGGTCTCAAGGGGGAGGGGATGATAGAAACCTATTTCTTAGGGTTTCAATTATTATTTATGCCAGGATAATTATTATTAGGGTAAGTAGTCTTCTAGTTGTATTAGGGTTATTATTAGGTTTTCCTATCTTTCCCTATAAATATGTACATGAGTATTCGGTCATAATCAAGCAATAACAATTATTCAGAATAGTATCTCAAACCCTAATCTCTCTCAATTTCGTCACCTATCTCTAGGCCGTCGACCATTCTTCTCCTCGATCCCCAATTTCCTCTTCTAAATCCCTAATCCTCAATTCTGTTCTTCCCCAATTCTATCTAAATTCCTATCAATTCCCAATCTCACCAATCCAATCGATAGAACCCTAGAATTAGGTTTCTATCAGTAACAACTGGAGTCAACAATGGAGATTAGAGCTGTCAGGTACAGAATCGAATTGAATAGCTATACAATTCGATGTGATCTCATCTGATTTTGTTTATGTTTATTTAGACCTTTGGATGTAAGATATTTGATGGAATCATCCAACTGGAACCACACTTTAGCTTAGTTCTTTCGATTTTCATTAGTTCGATCTGATGTAAACCGAACCGTAACTCATAAGTTCATAAAGCACATCAATGTAAAGCTATTGAACCCCGTTTTTTCAAGAGTTTGATCTGAACCGAACCGGGTCGTTACCCACCCCACCCAAAAGATGAACTCATTCACATCTCTCATCGTTATCATTCTGGAATTGATTTATAAGATTACATCCCACCTTGTTTTATTGATTAATGAGTTGTTGCATTCTGGAATTGACTTTTTGACAATCTAATTATTTACCTTTGAATTTCCATAATTAATTTTTTATTAGTTATTTTTGAATAATTAATTAAGTTTGATTTTTGTGAAAGGAAGTTACATTTCCAAAGGGAAATGTTGTTTTCACAATAAAAGACTCATATTTGCAGTCAATTTTTTTAAAAGGTTTTGTCATCTTCCAAATTTTTTCTCTATATTACAAACACAGAAGTCTGAAAGATTATACTTTCGAACTTTGATTGGAGCTCATGAGGATGATTTGTTTGTTTCCTACCAACAATTAGTAGTGAGATAATAACACATTTATAGAATGATTAGGGAAAAAACAAGAAAAAAAAAATTAACACAAAAGCAAGCAAAAGGTGTAATCAGCTTTGCATGCATGTCCAGCTGACACTACTTCATTCAACTTGAGTCAAGGTAAGAAAAAGAAAGATTTGGTCAAAATCATTTATAAAGCATATCAATGTAAAACATGGATTAGGAACTAAAAAGCCACTGAAAAGCTCTTCCTACCATACAAAGTGATGTACCTAACGTTCCTAATTTTTTTTTTTTCCCGCAAAGACCTAACGTTCCTAATTGTAGTGGATGGTTTGTTTTTCCATAACCCATTGACACATTTTACTATGCTATAAAGTATTGGTGTTTTAATGTATAACTTGAAGTTGTACCATAACATTAAACGTACAAGTTCAAGTTGTACCATAAAGAATATGTACAAAACAGTGTAGGTATAATCTAAAACTGTACCATAACATTGAATGTACAATTTCAACTTGTACCATAAAAGTAAAAACCTATAGGACCAATACTATATAGTATTGTAAAATTCCTCATAACTCATTATAATTCTATCAAAACCCACTATAAAAGTGTGTTTCAATAGATGAAAATGGTAATTTGGAGACATAATATTGCTTCGCTTTTTTAGGCGCAAAAGGAACTCCTAATCTGTACTAAGAATTGAAATAGAGCAGGATGTTCTCGGATCTAGAGAGTCATACAAGAGCTAGTAAAATATAGACGTATAAAAAAGTCTTAGCACATGAGTGCTCGATAAAAACACACTGAGTTGAGTTTGACAAATAACTAATGATTTCATTCAACCTCCCGCTGATCAAGTTACATATTCAATATATGGCGGAAAATGTTAGAACTCTGACGGGAAATGAAACAAATATGATTTCATTCAATTATTTTAATTAACCAAATAACAATCCGTCAGTTAGTTTAGAGATCACACGTCTTCGAAGAACTCTTATCTTTTTCAAATAACTTTTATTTGTCCTCGTCACTTACATACTCTTGTCATTCAAAAACACATGTCACAAATCATAGTGGAAGATGCAGATCGACATTAGGAACTAGTTACACAAACTTTCTTTTAGAGATTATCATTATCAACCATCTTGTGGAGTAGACCACTATATGCTACTACTCATGTTATGATTATCTTCAAATCAAATGAAGGGCTCTCATAAAAATATATATCCTTAGAAAGGTGATCAATAAGTCTAACCATCATCATTGCACTTTGCATGGTGACAATACGCAAAGGGACACGAGGGGTACAAATTAAACTCAACCACTACTTCCTCTCCCTTTATGTTCTTTCTTGTGCGCGCCCTATTTGCATTACAAAAAGAAGCACGCCAGCATATGGACAACAGCTAGCAAATAGCAATAGCATAGTTTTTATAGCACAAATGAAGTGGGGATTACAAGACATACAAGAATATAATTGCCCGAGTTTTACAGCAATGTATATTATTTCTTGTATGAAAAGTATTGATATTTCATTCAATAGAATTCTCCAACATGAGAATATAATTTGACTCAATTGTTTCATTTGCTAGTAG